TATGCCTAGATGATGTTGACCTAACTGCATGTATGCCCAATATGATGTTTTGATTGGCCTTAACTGATGGGCTAATCCTACTGGCAGTTAAGATGTTGACTGATTCTTATTGTTGAATGTTGCCTAAATGTTTGTATGCCTAGATGATGTTGACCTAACTGCATGTATGCCCAAATGATGTTTTGATTGGCCTTAACTGATGGGCTAATCCTACTGGCAGTTAAGATGTTGACTGATTCTTATTGTTGAGTGTTGCCTAAATGCTTGTATGCCTAGATGATGTTGACCTAACTGCCTGTATGCCCAAATGATGTTTTGATTGGCCGTAACTGATGGGCTAATCCTACTGGCAGTTAAGATGTTGACTGATTCTTATTGTTGAGTGTTGCCTAAATGCTTGTATGCCTAGATGATGTTGACCTAACTGTCTATATGCCCAATATGATGTTTTGATTGGCCTTAACTAATGGGCTAATCCTACTGGCAGTTATGATGTTGACTGATTCTAATTGTTGAATGTTGCCTAATGCCTTGTATGTTTACTGATGGAGTATATGGGTCTAGGCCCCAGGACCCACATACTCAGAACAGAAAGCACAGTCACTACACGGTGCCCTCGTCGGCCGGAAGACCCCCGTCGGCTGAAGAGGGGCCGATCCAGAATATGATCTTGAGGCCAAGGAACCAGGGTGTCCTCGTCGGCCAGAAGCCCTCGTCGGCCACGGGAGACCCACATAACCGGATTTTACACTTACTCATTTGTACAGCCCATTAGTGGCTTTGTATTCGGCCCAGTAGCGATCCAGTTGTAAATGGGCCTCCCAAGCCCAAGGCTTGGGAGCCCAGCCCGTATTTTCCCTATAAATACTTCCTCTGGAGGTAGTTATCAGGGTTACCAAATCATTCTATTGAAGCATATATTGCACTTCTCTCTCTAGCTCTCACTTCTCTCTAGATATATACTCTGTCATTTGGTGCTTTCATTGAGAGCTAGAACAATCAAGTTAGCACCATTCGTCGCTACCAAGTGCAGCTAACCACTGATCATGGGAAGAACTAAATCAAACCGCAACCTCGTCAGCAAGGCCATCCCTGAGGACCAGGAGGCCAGGGAGCACGAGGAGGATGCTACGGCCGACCAGGTCGGCGGAGGGGACGTCTTCCAGGAGGCCATCAACCTCACGACGGACCTCCGCAACCAACTCAACGGCGGAGCCCCTGATGCCCGCATCGGCTTGGACAAGAAACGAGCTGAGAAGACAAACCACGCCTCGGCCCAGCCTATGGCCGCGGCCTCTCCGTCTGTGGATCCACAGGTCCAGGCCGCGCTGTCGGTCATCATCGCCAGCTTGGCCCAGAACCCCACCGTCCTCAGCGCACTCTTGCCAAGGACCGGGGGGGACGTCACTCCACCTCCTCAGCCCCAACCGTTGGCCGTCCAGATAGGCAACGATGAGGGCGTGATGGCCCAGGACACGGCGTCGTCCCACTCCCACCCCGCTTCCCCTCTTCGGCCTGGGCAGACCCCAGCGCATGGAAAAGCCTCTGCCTTCAATAGGCTAGGTGACACGCGCCGTCGTCCGGTTTCGGAGAGGATGGCAGGGCGGATTGGTGAGCGTCGGCCTGGCTCGCCAAGGGAAAGCTTGGGGTCTGTGTCCCGGACAGCGGACCAGCCCCGCCCGGAAAATCTGTCTACTTTTACCGTACACTGCAGCAACAGTCTGTAAAGTAGGCAGCCCCATCCCTCTTTATTTTCCCTGAACATGTGCGGTAAAAAATAAGGGCAAAGGTGGAAAGTAAAGGGAAAACAGTACATTTTCTTAAACAATGTGTCAGTCAAAATGGAAGAACATTTAGGGACGGAGGGAGTAATAAATTTGCAGGATTAGAAGTCCACTTGTCGAACTTTTTCCTAAATGATAAAATCAACAAATATTTTCCCGCTTTTTTCTTTGATTTATGTCATCAGATGTGACTATTATATTGTTGATCGTCACTCGTCGATCGGAGCACTCTTCTCTTTTATCGTGACTTAAGACACGCAAAAAAATAAAAGGGTGTGGTGTGGTACGTACCCCATCAAAGCGTGAGGGATTCATACCTATAACGCATATGAATGGTCCACATTATTATTTTACCACTTATTTATATTTTAATTACTTAAATGTAATATTTTGATTGGTCGATATAGATAAGGTACGGTATCATAAGACTATAAGAGTACCATAGAATTTGCCAACCAAAAAATGATGTCATTGTATTTGAAATTGTATTTGGAATAAGGTTTGAATATTGTTGTAGTTCTTCTTTCCTTTTCAGCCATATGGCCAATATAAGAAGAGATTCCTTCCAACGTCATAGCTTGAATTAATGTTGCGATAATTAGTTGGAAAAAATGTTAGCAACTCCATCTGCTACATTGGAAAGAAGAAAAACATCTTGAATGAAAGAAAAATATTTGATAGTTTATCATTAATTTCATTGAGTGGGCCTTAAATTCCAACAACCTTATAATGGGAAAAACTCTTCTCATATGAAAGATTAGGGAAAGATGAAAACAAAGAGTAAAGAAAAAGACGAAAATGACGAGTTAAAAGAAAAAGATCATACCACCAAGCTTCGTCTAACAAGGGAATTACCAAAGAGAAAATGTGACTTTAATCTTGGCAAGGAAAGAAGAGGGAAAAGAGGCAAACGGGTGGGAGTTTTGTCTATTGATACACAAAATAAAGGGATACTCGAGCATAATAGCATTACACTAGAGTTGTAGAATATTTCTAGTACAACTAATTAAAAAAGATATTTTGTAAGTTTTTTTATAATGATTAGATTAAAATGTTTTTAAAACAAAAAGTTTGTTGTTGTTCATTAATAGCTGGTTATTTAATTTAGATCATTTAATACAACAAATTGTTGTGATTAATTAATGTTAAAAATTATAGACCGTCTCATAGAAGCTACTCAGAATAGCTTCCCAAAACAAATCTCTTAATTAAAAAAAATTCTAAATTTGTTGTGTCAAATATTGCGTACTGGACTAGACTGGGCCGGTTCGACCCGACCTGGTACCCTACCCAGCCCGTTACTGTGCGGGACCAGACCGGCCCGGCCAACTGGGACCGGACTGGACCGGCCAACCGGGACCGAGACCAAGGGCCTGAACCGGGGGTATTAGGGGCAAGCTACGGGACGCATATATGGTGGACCATCCCGGCCGGTCCGGGCCTAAATTTTATTTTTATTTTTTTGTATTCATTTGCTGCTAAACGGGTGGGGCTGGATGGTTTGGGGGTGGGGGTTGGGGGTAGGAATAAATCAGCAAATCCAAATTTTTAAATAAAAAAACTTAGACATGACCCGACCCAAACCCAACATGGTCTCGAGCCGGGTCGGTCCCAGTCCATGCCTATATATAATTATGAACTTTTAAAGACTTTTTAAATAGTGCAAAAGCTAGAAGATAATAACTTATCGGCTAGAAGAAAGTGAGTTTTTATATCTACATAAATAAGCTTTGAAGCTCTCACTTCTGATGACAAGCTATACCGTATGCATAATGCATTCTTATTGTGGAGTAAAACCTCTTTAATTTAATAATATCTCTAGAAAAATAATTTTCCCTCGCTCCCTTTCTGAACTGTAATAAAACGAGTGAAAGAAACATTTTGTGGATATGAATTTATGGGTTTCTTAAAGACATACTCCGTATAAGATATTTATATGATACTACTAGACTTGGACTCGGGCCGGGTCGGGCCCGGGCCGGCGGTTCTGAATAACTGGACCGGGACCGGCCCGGGTAGCCTCCGGGTCCGGTCCACGCCGGGCCGAGCCGGGCCTTGGGTTTGGTTAATATTTTTTTTCTTACCTACCCATCCCCTCACCCCCCCCCCCCCACCCCCAAACCCCTCCTAAACATCAAGCCCAACCCGGGTGGAGCCCAAACAAATGAAAAAAATCAAAAAAAATCAATTTGGCCCGAACCGAGCCTTGTTTTGGGTGACCCGAGCCCGGACCGGAAACACATCGGGTCGGGCCTACCCGGACCGGTCACTGACCGGGCCACCGGTTCAGGCTGGGCCGGTTCCGGGTTGGGCCACCTGGCCCGAGTCCAAGTCTAGATACTACTCAGTTTATACACGCTTTTTGGTACCCCACCTTGAGTTGATATCATGGGCAATTCGTCTAAGAATGTAAGGAGTATAAATTTTCAGACACTTCATAGTTTATACTAAATGTCCATAGTGCAAGCAAGCAACATGAACAGAGCGTATATTAAAAAAAGTATACTCCAAGCATTTTCCTTCTCATCATCATACATTGGAGATAATGAACTGGATTTTATCTCTTATGGAATCAGTACCCTGTTTAATACCTCTAAATTGAATAAAATTGATGATTCCGACAGTTGATGTATCGTTACAAGTCCGTTAAATAAATCCATGCATCCACTGGGTCTAGAGCACACATCTTATTTTATCCCGTTTATTCTTGTCATAATGTGGGGGTCTAGGCATGGACACAGTCCCGATTCTGGACCAAGGCAGAACCATATTCGAACCAGTAATTGAGCAGGTTATCTCGTCTAGAATGGACGCGGGTAACCGAGAATTTCCAGAACTGGTTCAGTTTCCTTCTAAATAGGACCAAACTGACTCATACTGTTTTGTTTTAATTAGACTACATTACTTATTACTATAATTCAGGTAGGAACCCAACCAAAACCTGACCAAGAGCTGAATTAGTGATATGAATTACAGTTATGGTTTACCCTTTCTTGAGACAGGAACCAGCTGGTCTAAAACCAGAACCAGCTCATGCCCAGCATGGACGGACTCTAAAATGAGATCTAGAATGGGGTAAAAGTTTTAAAAAAAATATTAGTTTGAGATTGAAATCGATGTCAGTAATTTATTTATATATTACCAGACACCAAATGAAATTCTTTGAACTCAAAATTGAAAATAACCCATCTCAAACATAAGCTTAAAAAACAAATTCCAGAGCTCAAGTTTTCATATTTATCAAATACTGTACTTTAATTTCTCGGTTGTGGAAATTGATCAAGAAAGAATCCCTGGATTCCATTACAACCAATGGGCTATTACTCTATAGTATCCAGTATAGAGAGAAGGAATCAATGACAAAAAACAAGTCAGAGCTGTTGTGTTTTTTCTTTCGCAAACAGCATTTTTTTGGGTTCTGTGTACATTTAATTACAGATTGCTTGGAAGAAAAAGGAAATGGAAAATAAAAATAATGGGTCTTTTTAATTGAGATTTATAGAAAGATTTAGGCTACAAAGAATAGGAAAATCATGAGGAAAACAATCAATACCAGGAATATCTTGATCATCAGCCACCTGTTTGATGATATATTGTTAAAGTACCTGACTAATTGCCCTTGTGCCCCTTCCACATTTGACAGTGTGTCCTCCATGTTTTCATCAATCCTGTCAACCACCATAAACTTCCTAAGTAAAAAAAGAATATTTCATTTTTTTACGTACGCGTAGAGGCTTTTGGCCTTTGAGTTTTGAATGGAATTGTATGTTAAATGGAGATCGGAGTTAACTTATTCATTTTATAAAGCATCATTTGCAATAGTTCACAGTTTCACACTCATGAATAGGAGACCAAGAGCCCATAATGAGGTGTGCCTCAAACCCTAGACCATGTGAACATTATACTAATATAGGGTGTTTGTTCAGCTTGGGTTTAGTTAGTTCGGTTTGAAAATTGTAAAACTGTAAACATAACCGAATAACTTGAGTCAGTTCAGGTTTGGTAATTTTCAGTTAGTATTTGTCAATTTTGGTTTTTTGGACAATTTGGTTGGTCGGTCAGTTTCCAGAACCTGGACCTTAAATCTCAAACTGAATTGCACATGGTTATATTGGTGTTGGTTTAGGCCGGTCTGGTTTCAGTTTTGCGCTTTTCAGTTGAACTCCAACGTTTGACACGATGACATCTAGTGAGGTTCACATAAATACAGTTTATACGCTCAGTTTGACCACTCCAAATCCATAGCGGTTTGGGTGAAAAAGGAAATTCAAGTAGCAAACGGTAAGTTCATTAAACCTCTATAACCTCGAATGTTCAAAAGTGTACATTGCTAGTTTAGGCGGTTTATAGGTATTGTTGTGCAAGCCTCATTGCATAATGAGGCGTCAGCCTCAGTTCTTAATACGAACTTATACATAAATGTTGCACACTTGCACTGTTGCACATAATATTAAAAATGAATAAACAAAATAGCAAAAGTCATTAAAATTCAACTTCTTAGCCAAAACCAACAATAAGAGGGTTCATTTTCCATCAAAATAGCAAGTTCAAACTTCAAAAATCTTGCCTACCCATTAAAAGTCTAAATCTTATAAGATTGAAAGATGAAAAATAGGATCATAAATTTCTAGTCGTTCGACATAGGGATCGTAACCCAACTTCAAATCCACCATCACCAGATTTGCCATTACCACCATTATCAACATCCACATCCATTGTTAAAAGGAAAAGATAATAAAGCTGTAAAAAATCTCCTTGAGAAGAGCAGAGAATTCACATAATCACATCATGTTAATGCACATATCCTATTATCATACTAATTTCAAAGTTCAAACAAAATATAACAATTACTAACGCGAAAAGTAAATAATAAAACAGTATTTTGCCGACGAGAACTAGAGAAAAGGGAGTGAAGAGCCGCATAAGAGGAGTCGCAGAAGGCTCTCAGAAGAAGAGAAGCGTAGAGTCACATAAGTTGTAAAAGAAAGATTGTATTTTTTTAAGTGGGCACAACTTATTTGACTAAATCTGAAAATGCAATCGCATACGCCTCACTCCCGCCTCATTGTGTATGCCTCGGCCCAATAGGAGTAATCCTTAACATTGTGTTACTCTGGACTAGCCTTAGTGCGTATTTGCCCTAAAAATCACTGAGGCCGGGCCTCAAGGCGCAAAGGAACAAAATCACTGTTTGTTTTCGTATATGAGAACGTAAGGAAAACAAACCTAATTGCCAGTTCTCCTTGGTGAGAAACCATGGTTGCCAATTGTGTGAAAATGCTACTCAACTCATGAATGGTTGACTCAACACTATGAAGGGCCTGACTCCTGCCTTGCATGTAACTGTCTTGTAAAGGAACAAACTGTTGCTGTTGTTGTTCACTTTGTTGCTGTTGCAGCAATGGCTGGGATTCCCCTTCTAGCTTATCTCTGTGGGAATAAAGGGCAACAATGAGATTTTAGATGTAAAATAATTTACTCCATCCCAACAAAAGAACACATTTGATCAAGACAATATTTTAATTTTGGTAGGACACAACATCTGAGAGTCAAATTGAGCTTGTCTGTAACTTTGTTCCCAAATAACATAAAAGTGAAGCTCCATTTTGTGAAATTAGACACAGTTGTTGCACATGATAGGTGGTTCTCAGATATCATAACATTATTTAGCATTTGTGCGTAACCTGCAAGGTTGCATCTACTTAATCATGCCAAGTAGGCAGGGGCGGAGCTAGGGGGTGCCCAGGCTAGGCCCTGACCCACCCCAAATTTAAAAAATGACAATATTTTTAGTGTAAAAAATTTCGTGTAAAATTTTTTCCAATAATATTCTTTGTACCGGCCCATTCTGGCCCAGTGTCCTGGCTCCGTCCCTGCAAGTAGGACACTTCAAATTAGGGGACCTCATTCTGTCTCGTCCACCACAAAGAAGATAATACAACTACATACATAAGGTACATGAACATAGATGATAAATGAAACTACCTCCACCACAATAAGAAAAGGATTGGTTGACCAACGTACAACTCTAAATTTTGGTATAAGGTAAAAGTGTAAAATTGTAATAAATCAATAATCACTTGTTAGTATAACTAAATTTATGACATGTAAGTGACTCTTATTTGGAGTTTTTTTTGGTAAAATGAATGAAAAACTAAATTCATTTTAAGAAATCCGGCTTTCTTTTTGTGGCAAAAAATGCTTTTGAAATAAGACTCTTTATAGTAGGGGTGGGCGCGGTCCGGAACAGTCCGGTAAATTGGTAAAACCTATAATGTATCCGTGAAATTTAACGGTCCGGTACGGTCCGGTTCCAAGGATAGAACCGTTCGGTACCATGTCATTTCGGAACGGTACAAAACAGTACGGTACAATGCCAAACACATGCTAAAAAATTGAACAAATCTTGCAATTAGTAGATATCATCATATCAACCAACTCACATGAAATGTTGAAATAAATACAAGAAATTGCATACGTAGTACTAAAATTCACAAATACACAAATAGTGCAACACAACTAAGAAAAAGTATAGCAAAACTATGACGCACGAGATAAATATCATTTTTAATTTACTAAGTTCATGTGAAAATATAAAAACGAATATCATAAAATTGTTGAATATAATGGAAATCTTCAACATTCTTCTTCTTCATTCTAGGTTAAATATTACTCCGTAGTTCTAATTTAATTTATAGTTGAACCTTGAGAGCTAAGATTTAAACCATATTAATTAAGTTCTAAAAATTGCAAAAACATGATACAACAAAAAGTCAAGTACACTACATTACTAGAAATAAATAATCATTAATGACTTCTAAAATTTTAATATTCTTTCAATACATACCAAAATATAACATACATTATCTAAAAAGAAAAAATAACAATATATATATAAACAACACATTTAGATATCTTAGGGACACATGAATACATACTTGTGGAATAAAATTGTTGGTCTATAAAAGAGATCTATTGATATAGAAAAAAAAAATTCAAATGCATTATTTTCGAACGGTTTGGTCCGGTATTTTTCGGTTCTCAAAATCTAGGACCGGTCCCGTACCCGTTTCAAACGGTACGGTTTCGATACGGGATAAAAATGTATAGAACCGTTTAAATACCCGGTATTCGGTTCAGTGCCATTACGGGACGGTTCGGTACCGGTTCGGTTCGGGCCACCCCTACTTTATAGGGAGGGGTGGTTTAGATCTATCACTTTACCTAAGAGGTAACTGGTAAGAGGAGGCAGAATTATTAACCCATGGAGGGGGAGATATAGATGCAGAACTACTAGCAGCAGCTGCTCTGGTAGCTACAGGACGCTGCCGAATAAAAGGATTAGCAGAGTCTTTTGCTGCAGTTGAAGAAAATAGCTGCCTTCTGTTCTCATGAACCTTCAAGTTCTGCAGTGAAAAGTCAATCTCAGCAACCGTGAGGATATATAGTACGTAGTAAAGAGTATCTAGATATGTAAACGGCATTGCAAATCCAAGACTTGCTAAAGACTAAAGTCATGTATAAACCTTTGTTTGGTTGCGATGAAATATGAAAGGAATTCACTCCTTCTCATTTTCTACTCATTTCTTCTCAATTTCTCACCTATAAAACACACACAAAATCTACCACATTTCTCTACTTAATCTCTTCATTATCAATTGCTCTGTTCTCTGCTAATTTTCTAGATGAAAAAAAGGCTAAGGGAGATCAACATGCCTCGTTCCGCGTGGTGAGGACTTCTTTGAACTCTTTTGTTGTGCTCATCAATCGACTTTTCAGGTTGTCAACAACAGTGGATGAATGGGTTGTAGTGTCTGTAGACATGTTTCCATGTTCACTTTGGGAGTTGCACATGAGCTGCAGATCTACTACAGCGGAATTAAGTGCAGTAATGTCCTGCTTGATCACAGCTGTCAACTCTTGAATCTCCAATGTGGGATCATCAAAAACTGATGTTCTCTTTCCCACTGTAAGGATGCAGGAAGTAGTTAGGAATCACTGAATCAGATATACTCTGCAACTGTGGACAAATATTTAAGATCGACATCTATATTCGATATTCAGGGTAGTTCTTTGTAAGCACCCTAGAAGTGAAGAAATAATATAGTGGAAAGAAGCCAAAGAAAGCAAGTCAAAAACTACTTAGAGCTCGTTGGGTAATCAAAGGTTGCATATTTTACTTACTCTGCTTATCAGAAATAAAAAGTAATTTAACTAAGTAGCTTTTCACTTGGTTATTTGACTTAAATGGGTTTTACCAAACACTTTTACTTTTAGAAAATTCAGGAAATGCAACCATATTTACCAAATAACTCTTATCAAACAGGCTCTCCATATGTCTAATCTGCTAATAGGCTATGAAATGAGAAGATGAAAACGCTACAATGACCTTGAGTTGGAAGTTCGACCGGTAAAGATTATGTTCAATGACCATGACTAAGAACATTATGGAAAACTAATACTACAGGTCTACAGCATATGTTCTTTTTCCAGTCGTTCAAGGTCTTTGCATGCATAACAAAGTACTCCTAGTATTTTATCTAAAGTATAAAAAACTACAATTTGACTACAATGACTAGTATACTGTGTACCCCTATTAATGTTTTAAAGTTCTATGCCATTATGTAACATGTATGAATGATGAAGAGTAATGTTGGGAATGAGAAATTATTATCTTAACAGTTGAACTGGGCAATTATATGAGAACAAATACTTTTCTCCAACACAATGGTTAAAGAGAACAGAGGGAGTCATTCAATCTAATGCCACCACTACAACTTTAAAGGAAAGTAAGCTGCCAGTATGTGGGATGATAGCTAATATCAATACACGTATAGTCCACGTAATAGTATGAAGAGCCTAGATGTAATGTATATCTTCCATTTAGCTAAAAACATTAATTTTAATTCAAATAACTTGTCCAAAAAGAAGAATATATTATACAAGGTTTTTTTGCCAGGTAAATATCCCTCAGCACATATCACCTTAGGTGAGTGAAATTTGAAATTCGCAACAAATCTTTCTTTGTCTAGAGAAAAAGGGAAGGGTTTGTATGGGTGTTTGGTAGTTGAGTTAAAGCAAGCCAGACATCAACTTAAAATCAACAGTAACAAAACAAAGGCTAAAAATTATTTACTTTACATATTATGCACTAATACGACTTTGTCCTATGAATCAATATCCCTTTGATGTATTAGCCTATGAGTCACATCAGTTTTTTTATCTAAAATCTGGTCAGTGGTCACATGTAGTGAGCAATCCCAAAAGACTCGAGTAGCGAGGATACTTTTAACAGAGCTTAGTACCAAATGATTACAACTATGGATGACTATAACTAGTCAAACTGCTATAGTTAGTTAAACAAAGACCCCAAGTAATTAATCACCAAGAAAAAATAATCCGAGACTCCCACCAATTCAATATTATTGTAGGTTAGGAGCAATACCTGGATGTAATTACAAGTTTGCTCCAACCAAAATGCAGGAAAAGGACAGATATCCTTGTTTGAGTATACATACAGCTACTTTACAACAATTTCTGAATATAAAACTATGCAATGAAAAGTTCTCATTAATATAGACAAAAAGGTTTATAAAATGGGAACTTATTCATAACAATTTTTTATTTGTAAAGGAGAGAAATCCCAAAAATGTAGAAAATCAGCATTCGAAACATCCCAAAAACAGGTTTAATGCAACTACAAAAGGGTAATAAAATAACTGTACATGATGCACCTGTTCGAATTCAAACAAATTTGAAGGTAGTCAGCAAAAAACATTAATTTTCTGATAAAAGAGCCTAGTATTCGGTTATGTATAAGATTAAAATGGTTTCACTTAAGTCAGTATTCTAAGCTGACGATAACCTTTGAATACCAAAGTTACAAGTCATTACCCATGATCAAAGTATGCATTAGATCCTCGACAATAACTACAACATGAAATTGATACTTGTATCACAATTGTTGGAAGGGAAAACAACGTAATGATAATTTTCATTTAAAAACTAACATTTTGCGAGCCTAGAAAGCTTCTGCGAGGTCTGATGAATCCCTAGCCCAATCTTCGAAGCTTTTTTATTGAACTCCGACTGAAACGATACAGCCAGCTGACTTAGCTCCGCCTTGGCCTCTCCTCCACGATCGACTGCGCTGCTGCTCGATGCCGGTGACGAGTCATATTTCCTCAAATTCACAGCTACATTGTTAAACTCATTGGTTCGATCCCTGTACGATGATTGCGCCGATCTCATACTCGTATATTAAAATTTATTCCCCTATATGAAATTCTTGTGTGAGCTTTCTTCTGTTCTTTAGTTTTAAATCAAATCAATATTCCTTCGAAGAAGTTGTTTTGATTCTGCGTCACCGTCCGACCGTCGTTTATTTTCTACCGTGACAGAGGCCCACGAAACTTACCACCATAGTGTGCAACATTTGTTTGTTTTTTCATTTCATAGATAGACCATTTATATCATTATATTGATATAAAAAGGAAGATTTCTCAAAATAAGTAAATGAAATTTGAAGTTCCAAAATAGGACTAATTTGTTTTTATTCCCGAAATGGGACTAACATGACAGTATTTACTGTCATCTTGTAGTTGTGGCTGTCAAATAGTTGCAGTACAGCGCATTTAACATGACAGTATTTATTATAATTAATGACAGTATTTTTTAATCATGACATTATTTTTCATACATGACAGTAATAACTCTTATTTCGTGAAGAAAAATATACTAGTCCTATTTTTGGAATTCCAATTGTCATTTGCTCCTATTTTAATAATTTTCCATATAAAAATGTTTTTTAATTCCTTTTTCCATTTCTGTAAAGTCTCAATTACTTCTCCCTCTCTAATAAACAGATGCAAATTGCACGGAATTACTAAATATTTTTTAAATAGAAATAATGAAGAAAGTTATTAAATATCTAAAAGAAGAAAACAATTAGAAAACTAATAAAATGCAAAACTAATACTGCAAAAAAAAAATAAAATGAACAAAATCACAAATTCTAAAATAAAATTAAAAAAAACCTAAATTAATTGTCATTTAATAGTGCTAATTATTTTCAAAAATAGGAATGATAATCTTGATATGAGATGCCCAAAAAAAGTGGGAACTTTCAAATGGGACGGAAGAAATAAATTAAATTTAAAATTAAAAATAAAAAAATTAAATTTAAGAGTAAAATATGAAAAATTAAAAAACACTAATGTTGAGAGCCATTTTTTATCCATCGTGTTTGTTGACGGGTCAAAGTTCCTATTAAAAAATATCAACGGTCAAATTTGATCATCATTGATTAAGAAAATTCAACATGAAAAAAATTTATCAACGTGAGGGAGTATATGTTTTGTGACTATTTTCTTTATTTTTATTTGTGTAATTGTTGTGGTGTTCTTTTGCCTAGGATCACAAACTCACTAAGGACGACCTTGCTTATGGTTCTCACTTTCGTTTTTTAGATATCCCAATTAAAGGTTCTCATTTCTATATTATAATATATATTGTGCACTTTTAAATGATAATTTAGTTATCAAATATTAAAAATAGTACATGTATAACATCACAATTATCGTTGGTGACCTCATTATACTACATACCTATAAAAATTATTTCTCAAAATGTAATTGAAATACATGTCTTATCAAAATTATTTCTCAAAATTATTTGTGAGAATATTACTAAAAATAGATAATGGACAAAAAAAAAAGAGGAGGGGGAGGAGACATGTATATATTGTACCTATTTCCCCTCAAGATGAGAAAGAGAGTGATGAGATTGTCAATCGTATCTCACTCCCCTCAAGATGACAAAGAGAGTGATGAGGCTGCCAATTGTACCTCGCTCCCCTCAAGATAAGAAAGAGAGTGATGAGGCCGCTGCTTGTACCCTACTTCCCTCAAGATGAGAAAGATAGTGATGAAGCTTCTAATTATACCCCACTCCCCTAGAGCCAATAATTGTTTAAGGTTTCCCATAAAATGGACAATCTAATAGTTCATGTAAAAAAGACTTGTACTTGTAGAAAGTGGGACATTACTGGGGTTCTTTGTTGCTATGTAGTGGCATGTAGTTTCTTCCTTCACCAATCTCCTAAAGATTGTGTACTTTTGTGCTACAAGAGAGGTCACACTTGAGGATGTATTCATGTGGGATAAGTATTTTAATTTGAGTGGGGAATGACATTGGCCTCAACTGGACAAGTGTTTAGATCTTCTCCTATCAAATTTAGTCCTCTCAAACCTAGAAAGAATTGAATAAAAGCCCCTCATAAAAAACAGAAAAAATGGAAAGTTAACCGAGTATGGGCTACATATGTGTTGTGGTATATATAAATACAAGGACCATAATAAGAGAAAGTGTCCTGATAAAGATAAAGTTGTTGATCCCCCGCTAAAGAGAAGTAGATCAGAGGAAAACCAAAAAGAGAGTGCAAAGTGTTAGTACGAATTCAAGTATAAAACAACTCACCATGATATAATCGCACAACCCTCTAAACTTGGGAGATGAGGAAGGGTTATAAGGGGAAGGGTACAAAGAGGAGGATGCAGTATGCGTGGCACAGGCAGGTGCTCCACACGAATTTCACATGGATTTGGTATTCTCATTCATGGTGAAGGCAACATAATGGCTAAGCTACATACTTCAATCACCAATTCACCACTAAGTAATTCTCACATATATTTTTTGGTATCCTCATTGATGTACTTACTATTTATTGTACAACCTCCTACATAGCACAATGGACCAATGATCATATCACACGTTGCAATTTTTCTTGACCTTTCTTCTCCCAGCACACAAGATATATAAATTAGATCTTCAGGTGCACTTTTTGTAGTAGTTTATCGGTTAACATGTAGTACAACTTTGATGTGTGTATGCTATTATTATTTGGTGTAGCTTTTACTCAATGTTAAATGATATTAACTTGGTGGATGAACATTTTGGTGTGCATTATTGTAATTGAAATTTATTAAAAAAAAAGCTTTAAGTTAGCCTCTAGAAAGAAAGCATATTATGATTACTGTTAAACATATTTGATGCTGTTGTGGCCTTTGTATTTTGTATATTTGCTGACGAACTGTTTTTGTACCTTTGTGGGACATTTTTTGAACTTGGTTTTGACAAGTTTTGTATTCATTTTGACAAATGGATCGGATGAGGGAATAATTGAAAATAATAGCTTGCAATTGAACTTGTTCATTAAAGGAACTAACCTGCAATTCATATAATTTTTAGTTTTAACATGAAGTTGCTCTAAAAAACTTCTGCCTTTAATGCTAATAACATATCATATTAAAGTCACTTCTCTATTTTAATTTGTCTTCATTATTAGAAACTACACTTGTTACTGCAAATATTTACAATAAATCCATCAACTTAATTACAAAACTAGATTGCTAATAAATATACTGTTTTAACGAACTTGCAACTAATACATTGAATCAGCCTCGCATTAATATTGTGATGATGAAATTGCATCACAAAGTTAACATTACATGCATGTTTTAATGTCAAATAAACTTTTGAATAATTCCACCTCACTTCATCCACAATATAATTATAAAAACTTCAAGAAACTACTTAAGTCATGACCATAACTTTTCCCCCATTTTCATGCTTAGAAACTTGAATCTTCACTTCACTGCAATGTCACAAGTTCACCCTCCCCCCCCCCCCCTAACGGGAATTTCGTCCCCGAAATTCACAATGCTACTCAAATAGAAACACATATTGTTTCTTCATCAAGGCTTCTATTTCCCAAGTTTCTTCTTCAACTCAATCACTTTTTCAAAGGATTTTAACCATCGGAACTTTCTTGCTACTCAACTTCTTTACTTGTCCATCAAGTATTTTCACCGGTTGCACGACGTAGTTCAAGTCTTCACGTATTTCCATGGGTGGTTTCTCTATTACATGGGATGAATCCCGTACATATATCTCAAGCATAGATACGTGGAATATGTTATGAACCTTCTCTAATTCTGGAGTCAACTTCAATCGGTATGCTACAACCCCAATTCTTTCAAGAATTTCAAATGGCCCTATGTAGCGTGGGTTAAATTTCCCTCGACTATAAAATCTGATGATTCCTTTCCAAGGTGAAACTTTCAAAAATACCTCATCTCACACCTTAAATTCTAAGGCTTTTCGGCGCTTATCGACATAGCTCTCATGTCTATCCTGGTCTGTCTTAAGGCTTTCACGAATCATTTTCACTTTTGACTGGGTGATCTCCACCAATTCCGTACTCTCAAGCTTGGTCATACCAACCTCATCCCAGCATAAAGGTGTTTGACATCTCTTCCCATGCAATGCCTTGTATGGAGGCATGCCAATACTCGTCTGATAATTTTGTTATAAGCAAATTCCACAAGTGTTAAATGGTTATCCCAACTTCCTTGGAACTCCAATGCACAAGCTCTCAACATATCCTCTAAGATCTTTATAACTCACTCAGATTGTCCATCCGTCTGTGGATGAAAATCAGTGCTGAACTTCAACTTTGTTCCCATAGATTCTTGGAACTTCGGCCAAAATCGTTATATGAACTGTGGGTCTCTATCGGATACAATAGTTATCAGATCCCCGTGTAGCCTCACGACCTCGTCCACATACAATTTGGTTAACCTCTCAAGTGCATAGGTAGTGTTGATAGGTAGAAAATGTGCACTCTTTGTGAGCCTATAAACAATAACCCACACAACATCATAGTTTTTAACCATTCGTGGTAACCCTACCACAAAATCCATAGTCACGTGCTCCCATTTCCAGTCGGGAATGGAAAGTGATTGTGATTGTCCTGCCGGATGTTGATGTTTTGCCTTAACTTCCTGACAAGTAAGACATCGACTGATATATTCAGCTATCATCATCTTCATACCAGACCACCAGTGACTTGCTTTCGAAGTTCGATACATGCATCTTCGTGCCCCCCCGGTGCATGGCATACGCCGATGAATGAGCCTCCCATAAGATAGACTTTTGGAGCTCATCGTCCGATGGTACACACACTTGGTCACGAAATAATAGGAGATCATCGTCTCTTTTCCCGAAATCCTTTACTGGTCCCGCTAGCATGCGTTCCCGGACCTTCTTAAGGTCTTCATCAGTTTCTTGACCCTTTTTTATCTCATCAAGTAAGGTAGGTTTCACCTCAAATCTTGCCAATAAGGCACAATCATTAGATACCTCCAATTGGGCTCTCAATGCCCTTAAGCTCATTAGCAATGCCCCAGACGAACTCTTTCGACTAAGGTCATCGGCTACAACATTCGCCTTACATGGGCGGTAATCTATCACTAGATGGTAGTCTTTCATCAACTCCATCCACCGTCTCTGTCTCGTGTTCAACTCTTTCTGAGTGAACACGTACTTCAAACTCTTGTGATATGTCACAATGTTGAAAACTATATCAATACTTACTTTATTCTTACTTTATCATTTCAATATCAACCAC